TGCTCCGCGTCCCTTCGCTCAGCTTGTCACTGCTGAGGATTACAGGATTGTCCATAGAAATGCAAAAGCTGGTGTGTGAGTGCGGGAGACCCGAGCAAAGGTTACTTATGCTGTGGATCAGGACCAACTCCCCGGTATTTATGGCTTTCCAGAGGAGTGAATCTTGTCACATCTGCTAATAAGCTGTAGAAGAGAAAGACTTAAAACTATGATTGGCACACAAGTTTGTGAGCTTTGGGGGGGGGATTATTTATTTTTGCATAATGCTTTTTCTAGATTGATGAAATTGAAGCTCTTTCATCCATATATGGTGAAGATTGGTGTGTTGTTGATGAAGATGAAAAAATCTATTGCATTAAGATTAATGATTGTCTGGATCGACCAAAATGGACCCTCTGTCTGCAGGTATAGTGAGTTTGGCACAGAATTTGCAGTTGGATGGTTGCAGGCAAAATCTTGTGCCTGTGTGAAACTCTATTTAAATAGGATTCGTTATCTTCTCCAATGGATTAAGGGGCCTTTGGATTGGAATCTGTGATAGACATTCCAGTGATTGTTCCTGTAACACATTAATATGCTTGTGATATTTTCAGTAGTTACATAGCATAATTCCACACTTGACAAAAACTGATTTCATTGCTTTTCTCCAAAGACTAGTTTAAAAAATACTGTTTACATTGACTGTGTGGGGCACCTCAGTGAATCTGATGCAGTTGCTTCTAGATTTACTTTCTGGCAAATGTGGACACAAAATGAAATTCGGATCAGCTTAACTGAGTAACTTGCTACTTTATGCTTACAGAACTGAAAACAGTAAGTACTTAGTGGAAGAAACACTGAAGCGTCTACTTACGGAGGTGCACTGCCACTTAAATAAGTCCAGTAACCATGTATGCAGCTCCTTTGAAATGTCTTCTGTGCTTTATTTTGCATGACACTTCATGCACAGAAATTGCACCCTGAAATATAATATTGGTATGCATTACCATTATTGGAATCCTGGATACAGATATTCAGGTTTTCTTGTCATTCTGTAACAACATAGCCAACTAATTTCTTCATTTGTAACCCTGATTGTAGTCCTGGTGCTCGACATCAGAGCCCATCAGAAGAGCTCAGCTAGCTGAGGGTACTAGTCCAGTGAATACTTACCCTGAGTTTCCTTCAGGTGATTTTGCCGCCAGGATATCCAACTGCAGAGCCACCTATTTATCAACTAAAGTAAGTGAAGTTTTCTTTCAAACATTTGTGTTTCTTTTCTGAATTACCACTGTTAATTGTTTGCAGTGTAAGTTGAAGTTCAGTTAAGATGACTCCTTGAATTAAAGTGTACAGGGGATGGGGAATGTTTCCTGGAAGAATATTCTGTTCTTTCTCCCATGTTAGCCTCATGGAGCTCCCTATGACAGTTTGCTCTCTTCCCTCAACTCTAATTTTTGCAGCATTATTTTGTGGCAAGGCGGCAAGTAGACTATGGAGGTATGGTGGCTACTGCCTGTTGTGTTGGACAGCGGTGTCTCATCACTTCCTTGGCTGCACCCCTCTTGTCTGGATCCTTGTTTCAGGTTGTAAGGCATACTTCTCACCTAACCACTGGCTCTTGTTGGGATGGAGCCATGGCATGTGCCATCTTCCTGTTTTCCTTCCCTGCTCTCCCTTTGTCTCTTGACATGTAAATGAGATGGGAATGGAGACATGTAAGACTGGTCCCTGATCTGGATGATAGAGGGCATGACACACAGCATATCTAATGAGTTTTGGTCAGCAGTCTTGACAAAGCAATACAAAATAGTGCTGGTAAACTTGAGGCAAAGTTTATAGTGCTGAAGCAGTTGGAAAGGTGAATGAATAATATGTAGGGTGACTCTGGAGTGACAATGGCTTGCCATGAAAAACGAGTCCATCTTTCTCACCTGAAGTAAGAAAAGGCAGCCCAAGTTAAGAGTCTTGAAGGGGAACTGGGTGATAATGCTTTCACCAATATATTTACAACTGTAATCTTGTTAAGTGGGAATGATTTATTGAAAATGTTTTATTTTCAAGGTCTTTCTCACATTTATTTTAAAAGGAATGTTTATTGAGATGATGGAGTCAGCATATGGGCACAATTTTCATTGTATTTCTTTTCATTCTAGTGCCCCTTGGCTTCGAGGACAAGATTATATGGAACTAGCAAATAGCTTGGAAGAAATATATGTGTAAGTTAGAGGTAGAATATAGTAAAAGGAGATAATGTGTTTTCAGTTTCGTGCTCTGCTCAATGTGTGCTGTTGGAGTACTTGCATGACCTAGTAGTTGCGAAGTGATTGCTGCAATAACCATAAAACAGTAAGTTTCTTTTATAAATCTAACCATTAAAGATGCCAGGCATTTACTAAGCATTTTGCCAGATGGGAATGTGTTAAAGTCTGACAAATTTCTTTTATATTGTTTAGACCTGGTATTCTGTAAGGATAGAAGTCTTCATTTTGACTCCTAATAGTATAGACTCCCTTTAGAATCTGTGAGATTGATTATGAATTGGTACTATGGAGTATGAGATTTCTGCATTGGAGGGTTAAACTGCAGGATGTGGAAGTGTTTGTTTGTGTCTTAGAGCATAAGTGGCAGAACAGTTTTTCTTAAAAGGTTGCTAAGGGATAAGTAGGTTTTAAAACAAATTAAACACATGCAGAATCTATTAACTAGATTCTGTAACATAGCGGACTGTTTATTATCACAGTGTGCAGCTAACAACCACGCAGAATGAATGCATGAGAATAAATGGAACATTTAGAAATGCTCAAATTACGTGTTTTTGAATTACTGTGAAATTGAGGTAGTAAATGTAGTAATTTTGTATGGTTTATTTAATTCTTTCAGATCCCAAAGATAATATAAACTAAATTAAATGAAAATATGTCATAAAGAAACACAGTCATGCCCAAAATACTGAAATCTAAGCATCTTGCCTAAGAAATGTTTTTTAATGCCATAAAATAAGGAAGAGAGCACTTGCATGAGGGTTTTTTATCTGCTTAACTCAGTTACTTTGATTAACTGAGCTTCTTACATAATTAAGCAACAGATAATTTAAGCAAGTAAAATTGAATTTGAAATGTTAAAAATGCACAAAGATTTTGAGTGCAAAGTCCTATGGGATCATATTAACCACCGTTGTTCAGTGTAGCAAAAAGGGCAGAGATTGTCCTTAACTCTGTCCAAATTCATAGGATTTATTGGAGTCTCTAGCAGAGGCAGAGCTGCTGTAGGTGGTTCTTCAAATGACCTGAGCATCTGGTGCAAGTTGCCACATGAGGACTGTGAGGAGAAATAGCATGCTTGTGAAGCACTTTTTTCATTTATTTATTTTCTTTTTTTCCTTCCCCCCTGCAGTCTTGCTGTTAAATTGTGCTACTTAAGATCAGTCCCTTGCTGCTCTGTTCTGCCTACATCAGTTGCTATTCAGAACCCTCACTGGTCTCCTCACATTTTGTTTAAAAGCAGGAAATGAATGCATTTGTACTTTAGGCCATATATGTAATTTTAGATTGTTTCAAAACCTCTGGATTAGTCACTGATGTGCACAGTGTTTGTGAAAGCTTTTTACCTATCCCATGTCTAGTGGTCAGATAAATAGAGGTATTCTGCATTGTTTACATTGTGGTTTTTACCAGGTTTCTAGTCCCTAGTGATGTAAATTTTATAGTTCTGCATTATAAAACAATATGAACTATACTGTCAATCACTATGTCTTCTTAAGGAGGTGGGAAAAGTGGACAATTATAGATCACAAGTCTGCTTTAGGAGACCTAAAGTTCTTAAAAATGTAGCAACTTGTGTTTGGATTTGTGTTTTGTTGGGTTTTTTTTCCTTCCCAGATTTTCTTCTGGTAAGACTTTTATTCAATAGAAAGCTTTGTTTTGTGACTTAGACACAAGTGACAAGAAAAATAGCAGCATAGAAATGTGAGCTTTCAGACTCAGTCTGAAAGGTTAATTTGCAAATAGGTAAGAAACTGAAATTGGGTTATAGCTGAAGAAATTGCTATTTACTTGCACAAAGCAGAGAAATCTTACTCATTGGCTAATGTCTGTAATCATTCCATCATTAAAACAAATATAGTTCTTCATGTATTAAAGTACTGCTTCTGTATGGTAAGAAGCAGCATGAAATCAGGGCATTGAACTGTTCTGGGGTCTGTACAGATTTTGAAGACAGAGTTACAATTTTATTAATACCTTATTTTTGCTTGAATATTTTTCTTAAAATATGTGTATTTGTTTGAATTTTTTATTTTATTCAGCGGTAGTGCTATATACATTAAGCAAAGTAAGAGTTTGAAAATGTAATTTTGTCACTAATATGTACTTGCATGGTGCCCCAGACGGTGGCAGTAAGAATAAAATTAATGAGAAACCATCAGTTACCTACAGCCCTGAATCTTTAGTTTTGCTTTTGAGACAAACATGCACAGTTTGTAAACATATTAAAATATAATTGTGAAGACAACTTTTCAGGACACCATTTAAAATATATTTTCAGTTGTTTACGTGCTGCTGCACATTAAGGCAGCATTTCTTAACTCTGAATATACAGATAAAAAAATGTGCTCCTTCTGTCCTCCCCCAGCACCTTAATACACACCTGTGCCCCTGACTAAGGACTGCTGGACCTAAATCCTTACCTCCCTGTCCTATAGAACTGCTTGTTACCCAGACTTTAGCGTATCAGTCCAGTGCTCCACTGTGTCTGCTGCCACTGACCTGCTATTGCAGTCCACAGAGATGAACCTCTGCTGGGAGTACACTGACTGATTGAGGGGTGAGAGGAGCAGGGCTGTTCCAAGGAAGAGCCCCCCCCCC